CGCCAGTCGAGCAGAGGCCCGAGGGAAACTAACAGCCAATTGGGAAGGACCCTATCGAGTCATTCAAATCTCTCCTTCAGGCAGCTACCGATTGCAGACGACTGACGACACGGAAACTGTCCTCCCACGATGGTGGAACATTCAGAATCTTCGCAGGTTCTATGTCTAGATTCCTTGCATACTACTTGTGACTTTGTTTGCTAAGTGGTTTAATTGCTTTCAGTCATATGTGTGTAATGCTAACCCGGGTCCTCGGGTAATTATCAATAAGAGTCATTACATACTTCTTTCAATAAATTCATTACTTGTCATATATATATTTGCACGTGTCGACACTATCTTATGACTAGTCGCCGAGATGGACACCCTCTATTGGGCCATCCTCGATGTGGGCCGTGTATTCAACATCCGGACCCCTAAGCCGAGGACTTCCCCTCGCACCCGCCGTAGATCGCGGCATCAGTACGCCGAGGAATCCGTATCCAATTCCTCGATAAGGCCGCGTAATTAACAGCCGGCTAAACAAAGTGCTATATAAACATTCTCGAGTATAAATAACTGGCGCTAACACAGCTTAGCTCAAGTACAATTTCCTCGCACCAAGTGCAGGTTAAAAAAAAAAAAAAAAAAAAAAAAAAAAGAGGTATACAATACATCGACCTAAATTCGGAGGTCCTTTCCCTTCGGGTTAAAACGAGAAGGCTTAATAAGGCCAGACCACCCCATCGACCTAAGCTTATGGACACAGTGCCCAAGCTTATCCTTTAAATCTAAAATCTCCCAGTTTTGGTCATCGATTCTAAGAAGATATTCCTCGGCAGCAGCTCGCTCCCGAGCTTCGCCCTCCGGATCAAGGTCGTCAAGAATGGGCAAGGAAATCTCGTTGTCCACCAGTATATTCTGCGAATGGCAGCTTGCTTCGAATAGAACTCCACCTCCTTGGTTCTTTTCTTCAGGAGGTCAATGGCGGCGATAAAACGTTCAGTCCGGATCTTTATCTGCGACTCGACCAAAGCAAGTGTGTCGAGTTTTTCGAGAAACCATGGAGAAATAACAATCTTCTCGCGCCTCTTCAATTGAGAGTTTTCTGACTTCAGTTTTTCCATCTCTTCGTAAATGTTCGCTTTGAGGGATAAAGAAGCATGGAAGTCCAAGTCATACTAGTGAAGTCGGCGCTTCCACTCTTCCTCTTGCTGCTTGAAGCGTTGTACCAAGCGGTAATGTGTCCATAGATTCAGCGCTTTAAAAGCGTCTGAAAATTCTTTCTCGAGAAACTTCACCTTGCTCGTATTGTGGACGTCCCCGGATTTCCTCAGAATCGAGGAGATCATCGTGTACAAGGGAAACTGAGTAACCTCCTCTTCCTCGAGAATTAGTAGATGTAAATGATGAACAAAGTACGAATCCTGGAATAAGCGACACAAATATTAAAAGTGAGCTAGCTTGATCGGCAAAACGGTTCAAAGATTCATACAAATTTTCTAAGGTCTACAACCTTAGCCACAAAAATCCTATTACAAAGGAGAGACTCATACTTCCTTCTGGCCCTGCGACTGTGTTGGCTGGTTTTCGTTGGTTTCCTCGACAGAAGGAGGGACTGACGTTCCCTCTGGTTCGGGATTGCTTTGTCCATCGTCCTCGACTGGTCCCTCCGAAGATTCCTCCCACTCCACCTCGACACCGATGAAGTCGGGAGCCAACTCTGGCACGCGCACCTCTTCTCCAACGTCATCAGGAAGCACCGTGAGGACCTCCCCCTCGAAGGATGAAATCTCCGTCGAAGATTTCATCTCAGGAACAGCGCCACGCAGCAGCCCAAATAGAGGAAGTTGGCCGTCGGAAAGTCGCTGCACTCCTTTCTTGAGGGCTTTGTGGAGTGTCTTCTTGGGATGCGGCCTTATAAATTGCTGCAGCCATCCAGCATTGATGGTCTTCCCACTTTCTATCCTTTCAAGGGCAGCAACGGCCACGCCATGTCCCCCCAGAGCCTTAGCTTCGTTACTAATGCCCACCAGGATACTTGCCAGCCCATCCGTGGACATCATCCTCGACCAAAAATGCGTTATCCAGGTTGGTAACTCGGATCGGGGAACATGAGTCTCCCTGCACTCAGACAGCTTGGCTTCAAGCTCCTTGTACATGGCCTGAACACCGGCCAGCTCCTGCTCCCTAGCCAGTCTCAGAGCCTCCTCCCCCTTTCTCGAGGTTTCACTCGACTGCCTCTCTTGTTCCAGGAACCCTCTTTCAGCCTGAAGACTGACAATGTCCCGTTTCAACGTCTTCTCATGCATGAGAATGCTAGTCATAGCCGTAGTTAGCTGCAACAAACACGAAACGTTAACAAGAGCAGCGTGAGATCTCCGAGAAGACATAACTCGAGAGGAAAATATTACCATTTTCAGCGATTCTTCCTCTGTCAAAGTCACCGCCACCTCCTCGATGATGGGGCACTCGATCCTGTTGTCCCCAAAATGATATATGGCAGCGGCAGCAGTGTATGATGACTAACCGTCGGTGTCCTCGACGTTTTTCTTCTCGAGGGAGGCTTCAATCGGCTTGAACCACTCTGGATGCCGCTCCGTCGCTGGACCTGCCTCGGGTACCTGGCCCTCGGGCATTGGAGCCTCCACCTCTTCAATAATAGGAGAGGTAGCCTTCGAAGGATCATTTCCCCTTTCCACCTCGATCGGGACCGGCTCCTCGACCTGCTTCTCTACCCCCTTGAGGGTGGGAGTCTTCTTCTTCTTAGCCTTGGCACCTACATCGGACGCTTTCACCAGCCTTCTCAGCTTCCTCTTCTTGGTGACCTTGTTGGACGATCCCTCATCATCTGAATTTTTAATTTCAAAAATTTTGGTGTCACCAAACAACCCAACGGTATCTTTGCTTGATGACATGACCTAAAAACAAAAATAAAGCACATAACAAGTCAGTACCTTTTCTCTTCTCGACGTGAATTGACGGGACGTAGTGTTGCACTTCCATGTAGCCCAGGATGTTCTCGACAGATTCCAAGGAATCAATGTCCACGCTATACCTCTCAATTCTGGCCTTATCGTGCTTGGACTAGGCGTCTGCCACACCGCCCATCTCATGAGCTTCCCGATAGTCCCAGGCCATACAAACATCGTCGGGAGCCAAAACAAACAAATAATTCGGCTTCCACGATGTGGCACCATCGAAGAGTTCTATTATACGTTTTGCCTTTCAGGAAACGTTTGTCTTCACGTTATACCAATCCTTGTATTTGGTCGAGGGCACACAGACCTTAAAAAAGTATCTCCATACCAACAATCGAGGCGCTATCCTCTTTATTTCACAAAGCCTCACAAAACCAAGGACGATAGTGACCAGGTTTGGAGTAAATCGAGCAAGCGGGATCTTATAATACTGCACTAGGATAGAGGGTGAAGGGGGAACCGTAGTCCGAGAAACATCAACCTCTCATACACAGTGATTTTCCCCTCTGGTGGATTGTTAGCCCTCTCAGTGCCTATGGGAGCTCGATAATCTAGATCTATGGGGAAGTTATATAGTTCAGCAATAGAATCGGCCTTTTCAACAGAGTCTATGGTCGACGCAAAATCAGAAACTGTTTGTCACGCCATACCTATCCTAGTATATGCAAGTCTAACCAGGTTCAGATAAAGCAAAATATATACACCAATGAACAACGATGAGAATGTCCGGAAGTTAGAAGACTTACGTATGAGATAGTGCTCCTTGGTTGAAGTCTGTCGGAGGGATTTTCAAACTCTGTTTAACGGCGGTATTTGGTGACAAAGAAATCTGATGCACCGGAATAGAGAGTATGGAGTTTTCTGGGTTTGGCGAGAGAAATATATGGCCAAAGTCCTTAGCCTTTCTCCCAGTTAAACAAATAGGAGGCGCCCTTTTTCCCACGACCCGACACCGTGGCCGAAATCCAAGTGTCACGGGCTTACTTTTTCAAAGTAACGGCCGTGCGGCACTAGCACAAAACAACTAACGATCAAGTGCTAGCTCAGCCTTCTGACCCGCAAAGCGTGCAAAGCTAGGCAAGACTTTAAAGAACGGAGGCAAAGAAAAACTTAAGAAAGGTTGAAAGTGAAAGAATGATGAAGGCACAAGAGAGCTTAGGGAATGCTTGAGAACTCTACTCAAAGCTTTGATGAATTACAAATGAAGGGGGCATGGGGTATTTATAGGCAAACCCCAAGTCCTAAAGAATTCTAGAGAATTCTATGTACATAATAAAATAATGGAATTCTAGAGAATTCCTACAATAAAATATTCTAAGTTCAAAATATCTACAAGTCTCTAGAATCTTCCACACGGTTCTAGCAAACTCGGGTAACTTCCACACGGTTCCACCCGTTTCTAGAGAGTTCCGGGCCTCTCTAGAAAATTCCAGAATCTTCAAGATTTGACCGGAGGATTCCACAAGGCTCTAGACCGTTCCGTCCCATGTCCGTCTACGAAAATAGCCTGTTTTGCAGCAAACCACCCGAATTCGTGGGGAAGAAAAACTGTCCGTGACACAAGGCACTCATAATTGCCCAGCCGTCGTTTGGGAAACTTGCGTGCTAGTGGGGCTTAATTTCCGTTCGGGTGGGATTCAAATAAAACGGGTCGCCTTCCCGGATCGGATCCTCACTCGCGAGCAGCTACATTTGGGCTGGGCTGAAGCTTATTTGTTTCATATGGGCCGAGCCAGGTCAGTTTTTTTAAGTATCAAGTCTTATTTATTTTGCATTATTAACACTTCAGGGGCACTTGACGAGTTCAGGTCCATCACCGTCAACAGGCCGGCCCACTACTTGGCCTTAGGGTCAAGACCGCCCCGATATGGCGGTTTATTATTGTTAACCTTAGTAGGAATCGGATTCCTCCCAAGTCTATAAATGGGGACCTTTATTCCACATTAAAGGTACGCAATCTTGACTATAATATCAACACAGACATAACCCTATTTTCTAACTTAAGCTACGGAGTGTCTACCCCCGGGAGACGCCCGAGGCTCTGTTTTGCAGGAAACCCTAGTCTGAGTTTCACCCTACACGGGCGGTACAATTCCAGGTATTGTCAGAAGAGATTATTTGGGTAATAAAACATCAGAAGTGATCCACAATTCAGGTAATCCACTGGGTGCAGACATAGTTCAAAGTAGAACATCTCTCTGCCTTCCTGAACTTGACTAATTTCTTCCAAGATTCTTGAACACCATATTCCTCCATCACCCATACCGTCATAGAATCAGGATTGGCAAGGCATAAGCAAAGATGACCTCTTAGCACGCTCATACTCATATGCGGTATATCGCTATAGGAAAACTCAAACGCGCTAAACTTTGGTGGGAGGAAGTTTTGGAAGCTCTCTTGTGAGAAATCAAATGAAAGTATTATATTGCCGAGACAACCTCCATGAAACCAATGCAGATTCCCATTCAAGTAAGTTGGCGATGTTAACTTACCGAAATATGAACGTGTATACCCCACATTTTCCCAAGATTTCGTTCCAAGAGTATACACCTCTCCCATCCTTCTGCTGGGTCTTTTCCCCTCATTATATTGGACAATCAATCAACTCATCCACCCCTGAATTAAATATTCTGATCACCTTATACTGCTTGGTAGCTGGACAAAAGCCAAATCCACAATCCACAAAGTCATATTAAGCCTCATCGCCATCAGGAATGTTGATGTATTCACCAGTGACAGGATTGCATATGACAGCAGGTTCATTTGCTGAGGGTTCAGATAAACAGAGAAAGCCATTGCAAGAATTGACAATTCTAAACTTGTGATCTGTGAGTCGCAGTTTAACCCGGCGTTGCTTCTTAACTGCTTCCATATCAAGGGCAATTTCTGGATAACGCAAAGGTATCTTCAATTTTGCATTAAGACTCAAATGAAACTTTTCCTCACATCCCTGATAAGAAACCTCAACACTGATTTCAGATGGATCAACGAGATAACAAATTCTTGGAACACATGAACAGTCCAAGTTTCTAAGCAGCAAGCTCGTTCTTGACTGTGCAAAGTGCAACTTAGCGAAATGAGAGCTAAAGATCAGTCGACGCCAACGTTTACAAACACACTTGCAAACTATGATTTCCTTCAGAGGCAGCTTTAGCAAGATATCTAAGAAGATTGGCTCAGGTACATCCGTTATTCGTGCACTAAAGGTTCGAATTTGATCATCGGATTCTGTCATTTCCCTCTTCATCTCTATGGCTATTTCGTCCCTTTTTCTTTTCACATTCATCTTAGCAGCCCTCTCCAATGAAAAGAAAAACAATATTTGATTCCACAGATACAATCCTACCTACTACAAAAAGAACAAATAAAAGCATAGCTACAAACTCTTTTACGGCGTTCTCACAATTCTTCCCCATAAACAGAACTTCATCTCAAATCAGATATAAAGCATTTTTCTTTTTACCAAGAATAAACATAAAGGCACAAAATCTAGTGAAACATCAGCGTATCCTGACACCAGATCAACAATTATGTAAAAACAATAACTCGAAAATAATATACGGAAGGAAAGCTAAAATTCCCATTATTCACTCAACTTAAGCATGAATTACAAAGATACAAAACACTTATCTTGATGTAGAATCATGAGAACAGCTACAGAAAATGGAATATGCAATCATGAATCCGTAAACTCAGATCGGGTTACTTTTTATAATTCAACTTTACTTAGCCATATCAGAATCTCAGGAAACCCCAATATACAATGGAGAGAAACATCAAAAAATGCAGAAAACCCCTGTGACGAGCCCATAGGAAGCATACAACAAAGGGCTGATTTTAAGTTCGATATATATAAAACCAACTGAGTCATCAAAAGTACAGACGCAAATATAAAATTCAATAGCTCAGTAGAAGAGGAGATAAGTGATTGTTTACCTTCAATCCTTCGAATAAGAAATAGCTCTGAGTCTTTTTGCTTTAGCCAAAAAATGATATGACAGAAATTTCGGATATTCTCTCTTTAATCAGTAAAAATTTGGCGGGATTCCAGTGGGTAATAATGGCGGGAATTCGAACGTGTGATGTGACACCACAAATATCTCCTGCTCTCGCGGGGATTTGTTGATTTCTTTTGCTGGTAATTTACCTCTTCATTATGTAATTTTGGTTAATTTAAAGAATAAATTCATAGCCATTATTGGGGATGTAAAGTCATTACATTATGGTTTTTCAAAGCTAAAAAAATAAAAATAAATAAAAAACACGGCAGTGAACCTGATTTAAATGTGTGTAAAACCCACATTACAAACCTCTAGTAAGAATTGAAACACGGCATCCTAGCTGCTTAGTTGTTATTCAAGTCCCTATAAAATTATGTTCGATTATGTTAAACTCTGTTAAAACCTTGCAGAACGGTAAATTACTCCCTCCATTATGTTTTAAGTGTGTTTTAAGAAAATTAAGAAGTTCTAATATATGTGCAGTTTTCGTTTATCATTGCATCTTCAAACATAAATTTTCAAATCACTTCAAATACTGACTCGGCAAGGGTAGGGATCAGGGGTCGATTCGGGTCGACTTGGGGGTCGGCTCTGATGTAATAAGTAATATATGAGTATTATATATATTATTTAAAAAATTAATATTTTAATGTAAATTTTCTTCTGCTAATAGTCAACAATATTTTCACTTGGCAATGAAAAGTTCAAGGGTTTCAGCTGAAAATGAACATTTTAACTCAGGGATCAAACTGTCTATATACCAGCGATTCTCTTGTTTAATGTGTTCAGTTTAGCTGAAATTAGGAAGGCCTTATTTAATATTGATATTAATAAATGTGCTGGACCCGATGGTTACAATAGTCGCTTTTACAGAAGTGCCATGGGGGGTTATAAAAGATGACTTATATGTAGCTGCTTTAGAATTTTTTTAATATGGTAAACTGCTAAAACAGCTCAATGCCACGATGATTTACCTGATTCAGAAAAGTACCCAGCCTAGAGATACTACGGAGTTTTAACCAATATCCTGTTGTAACACGGTTTATGAAGTTATCTCTAAACTGTTAAGTATGAGACTAAGTCATGTCCTTCCAAAGTTGATAGATCTAAATCAAGGTGTTTTTGTCCAACATCGATCCATTTTACATAATGTACTCCTTACGCTGGAGTTAGTGAGATTGTACCGTAGAAAAAAAAGTGAAACCTAGCTACCTTATGAAAATAGATTTACGGAAGGGTTTTGATTCTATCCATTGGGACTTTGTTGAAGAGAGGTTTTTTTTTTCAGTTATTTTTCACCTAAATTCACAGCTTTAGTTATGGAATATATTAGAACTCCTAGCTACTCTAAAAGTTTAAATGGCGAAAGTACTGGCTTCTTTCATGGAAAAAGAGGTTTACGCCAATGTGATCCCCTGTCTCCCCTAATCTTTTTTATGGTGATGGAGTTTTTGAACAAAATTTTTAAGCAAGAAGCCGGAAAAGGGGACTTCAAGTACCATCTGCATTGTGATAAGCTCAAGATTATTAATCTGAGTTTTGTAGACGACTTGATTATCATGTGTCAAGCGGATTTGCATACTGTTCGAAGAATCAAAGATGTTTTGAAGAGATTTGAGGCTACTACAGGGTTGATAGTCAATCTTCAAAAATCAAATCTTTATTTTGGAGGAGTAGAAGAGGTAATCCAGGAGGAAATACAACGTAGGTAACTTTCCTATTCGTTACTTAGGAGTTCCTATTTCTCCCATAGCTTGGACTCAATCAGATTGTCAAATGGTCATTGATTAAATAGTTGCAAGGATCAACTGTTGGTCAACAAGAAACTTATCGTACTCTGGCAGGTTAGTTCTCATTAACTCTGTACTTATGAGTTTGCACTCTTATTGGACTAGGATTTTTTTGCTTCCAAACGCTATGATTAAGCAAAAAGAAAGGCACGGTAAAGGGTTTCTGTGGGGTAAAAAAAGGAATGGGGGAAGTAGATATTTGGTTGCCTAGGAAGTTGTGTGTAGAAATAAGGCTAATGGTGGTCTTCATATAAAGAACCCCATGGTATGGAGTCAAGCTCTTGTGGGGAAGCAACTTTGGGATATTGAAAATCAGAAAGAAATGTCTATGGATCAAGTGGATTCACACATTATTTGAAGGGGAAGTCAATCTGGACCTAGATAAAAATCTTGTGGTCCAGCTTTGAATCCTTTATGTGATTCTCTTCACAAGTAGTTGACAATCTGAAAATGGACAAGGATTTTACCGGCAGATAGCCCTCTTGGAATCCCAAACAGTTGGCTATATCTTGTCTAATATTATTGAAAGATCCATTACAAAATATGTTACGCTGACTCAAGAAAAGGCCATATGTACTAGCAAAATGTCGGACTCTTTGATTGATCAAGCTCACATATTTAAGATATACCTTGGAAAAGATGAAGAGATCATCTACATTAGCCAAGATAATCTGTTGGGTCCTATTGCACTTCGGGTGAAATTTGAAGTCCTTGTCCTTAGGCATTCTTCCCATGGCCTTGGATAAATACTCCATCATAAAGATCACCCTGTGGTAGAACTCTATTGGCAGGAAAATATCCCTTAACCATTAATGAGAATTGTGTCGTGGTAACATAGCATCTCAAAGGAAAACCAAATCGATAAAGAATATCATCCAAAAATTTCTATGACATTGAATCATAATCCTTTTAGATCAACTTTACTGGCATCTACGGCTTGCATTTTTTCCTCCCATATAAATGAACAAACTTCTCAACCATCATGATGTTGTGGTCCTTGTTCCTCTCCAACAATGCTACCAGTCACATTTTTTATTGGAGATGTTATAATGCAAGAAATGTATTTGTAAGTTACATTATAGCAAGAGATAGGTCTGAAATTGTAGCTATATAATTTAAGACACGGAATTTTAGGAATAAGACATATTCCATTCATACATCGTGGGAGTTTTTATGAAGTTCACCACTTAGGTTTCCTTTCTTCTTCTTATTATAATTTTTTCTTTTTTTTTTGTGTTTCTTATGTAGTGATTAGTTCACTTTATTTTTACAATTTGGAATTCTAGGTACCAATTTTAACTTGAATTTGATATCAGTGTTACAAAATAATAAAGCATCATCTGCAAAGAAAAGATGAGTAATTTCTAGTCCATTCTCACTAATTTCCACAACATATATTTTCAAACCATTACTCCTAACATGCATTATCTTTTTCGCACTTCCTTTGTTTTTGTTTTTGTTTTGTTACATTTCAGCATACATTCTTTGTGATAGAGTGACTAGTGTAATTAATGCAAGCCTCTCCTACTATCAATATGGTATCAATAATACTATATTGGAGTATTTATTACTTAATTACTTAATGAATAAAGGTGTTGGAATGATTAGTGTTTAACAATTGACAATGGGTTTCTCACTAAAATTGGCCCATAGATCAGCACGCCCTGGTACACCTTATTCTACTGAGCATGACCCATTTGACCCATAAACAAAAAATAACAATATATCCACATTATTTTGTGTATCATGGAAATAGTAACATATTAAACTTGTTGAAGGTCACTTAGCCATATTAGATTTTTAACTTGGCTTCAAAAATCTTCAACTCCAAACCGTGTTTTTCCATCCACTCCAACTGTTTCAAGCTTTTTTACAGCAGATAGATCCATCTCAACTTCTAAGACATAATATATTCCAACAAGAACTGTAGAGAAGTCTTGGTTTCTGGTGGGTTGTTGAAACCCCCAAAATAAATTACCAACTTAAACTGTAGATAGGATAAGTCGGGTCGATCCCACAGGGACGAGTTAAACTTCAAATAACCGGAAAACAAACAAGAACACAGTAGCTGCCGAGTGTCACTCACTTGCACGAGTGGTGAAGTCACTCACACAAGTGGCTCTGCAGAACTGAAAACAAACAAAGACAAATGAAACCTCACTCATGGGAGTGAGAATTCCGACTCAAGGGACTGACTCAACAAACTGGATATTCATTCTCTTTTCCCTATGTAATCAATTTGTAATCTTGCACTCTTTTGGTATGAATTCATGCTCATTCAGGCACTAATATATATCTAAGTCACTTCTGATTTTTCCTAGAGGTATCTTTATGAACTCAATTAAACTATTTTCCAATGATTAATCAAGTCATAAAGTTTTCAAGCCTTATATGAATGCTTCTGCTAACCCAGTATATTCCTATCTCAATTAGAACCTTGGACTGTTACTTGCAAGTCATAAGTTGAAGCTAAATGATTTTGAACCTGGTTTACCCTTCCGGGATTCACTTAGTTCTGTGCACAATAAATCAATTGGCCAATTTAATCAAGAGGTCTGTTACTCCAGTGAGGTGAGGTCTGTTACTCAGGCGAGTGAGGTCTGTTACTCCTCTTTTTCTGCTACTGGACTTCTTCTTCTTGGAGTTTCTTGATCTCCTCTCCGGTCTCTTCTTCTCTCTCTGTTGTGTTTTGTGTGTTGTATATCCTCTGATGTCTTTTTTTTTTTTTTTGCTGGGAATGCAGCCTAATTTTCTTTCCTAAAGCCCCTCTTTTCCAGCAGTTATGCACTTAGGTCATTACCTATGCAAAAACACAAAACTAGTTAAGCAAAATGAACTAATTCTAAGAAACACCCCTAATTCTCCATTAATATCAGAGTAGATTGTAATGCTTTTTGTGTAACAAATTAACCATTATCAACTCTGGATTGTAATGCTTTTTGTGTAACAAATTAACCATTATCAACTCCCCCAAACTGGAAGAATTGCTTGTCCTCAAGCAACACAATCTAACCCTTGAGAACTACACACAAAAACAAGAAAACAAAAGCTAACCACTAACTTCCCTGAGCGAAAATGTCACTCAGGCAAGTGACACTGCAACAAACACACAAGAACTTCACAGCAACTATCAAACATAACTAGTTCATATGACAATCAGATACAACATCTCAGATGCAAGAAAA